CAAAGTCGGCCGTTGTCCAAGAGTATCCAACAGTACAAGATGTGAGCAAGAATGTGTCACGGATGCGGATTGTCCCGGAGAATGGAAATGCTGTAGCAGCGGTTGTGGTACATCTTGCCTGGAGCCTACTCCGGAAGAATTTTTGACAACGACTCCACGATTCATAGTTACCCAGCCACAATATGGTGGAGAACCTGCGACGATTCAACAACCCGAAGAACCTCGCATTAGCGCACAAGAAGGCGGCTATGTTACATTGAAATGTGTTGCACTAGGAATTCCCAAACCAACTATCACATGGAGGAAAGATACTACATTGGTAATTCATGTTACTCTATCATCTCAAAGGCAGTAAATAAGTATATCAATGTTTGGAAATGTATGACAAACGCGTGATCATAATCGCACCATTACTTTTCATAGTCTGATTTATTGAAAATGTTTTGTAAATATTATTTCTTTAAGATTGGACCTTCGGAAAAAAGACGACGTATATTACTCGATGGGTCTCTTCAGATCATTAATTTATATACTTATGATAAAGGAACTTATGTCTGTACTGCTGATAACGGCTTAGGGCCACCGGTAAGAGCGGAATACCAATTGGACGTCACAGGTATGTAGAAAAATTTATCTATCTTGCAAGTGATCTTTGTTTAATGTAACTTTGAATAGAATAGCACTGGGAATCCCACTGACATGGGATTTGCACTAATTTTATTGTAAATGTCTCGTTAATGAATGCAATGTCTTGCAAAATGCATTTGATGCATATTGAAGTAACATACAGAATCTTTCTATTTTTATTTAATATTAATATAGATGATACCGTGGATAACGTGTTGACAATAAAAGTGTTGGGTTTGTGTTTTAGTCAAATACATCGCGACGTTATGGTATAAAGGGAATTTAATATGTTTCGCATTATTTATGAATCGGATATAAATTAATTTACAATTCTTTTGGTGATGGTGAAATTAACATTTCTCTTTCTAAGCATCGCGCATGTTCCTCTTTTTGCATTATTTAGAACCAAACCAACTTCCTGTCGCTATCATTGGAGAGCCCGATACTCGCATAACGGTGACGATGAACTCACCGATAGCTATACATTGTTACGCCATGGGATGGCCAAGGCCATTTGTTACTTGGTGGCGTGGCGATCAAATGTTGCCTCTGTACTCGGACAATTATGAGCAAGACACTGATTATACTCTTCTGATACGTTCAGTAACTTTAACTAGCCTCGGCGTATATACATGTCAGGCATTCAATGGAATCGGTACACCGGCCTCTTGGTCGGCAACCTTGCAAGCGATCGGGCCCGTCTACAATGTTAAGCCTGATCAGGAAGAGTATACCAAGTATCTCGTCCAACCACCAAAAAGACCTACCACTGAAAAACCACAATATCCTTACAGGCCTACCAGAACGCAATCTCCCGAGTATCAAACCTACGCTCCTGTTCGTCCCTCAAAACCTTCTCATATCCCTCGCGTTGTTCCTCTTGAAACTACCACCGTCGAACCCGGTAGCGCCAAATTCAAAGGTGAGACTGAGTGATGATGACTGATACTTATGTTTCCAATTTTATTCGCATCGATCATCGTGATGAGTAAATTTAAACTGTAGATATATTATAGCTTTCGTATCAAATTTTCCAAGTGAACACATTTTTTAAACTAAAATTTTCTAAAACATTTTACTTTGCTCGTCACGATAATGATGCGAATTATATTCGCTTGGTTACATATCTTTTCCTTGCACGCATGCATGCTTATTATGAAATTGATGACATTGCATTGTATTAGTATTATCTAAGATTGCATTAAGGGTAACTTGCTTATTGGCTATTTCAAGTATAATCGAAGAATTTAATATAATATCCGTATTGTTAGAAGAAAACAAAACTGATGTAAGTATGCTTCAAATGGATTGTTTACGTTCTTTTGTTTCGTCAAATTTTTTTATTTATAATTCATTGAAAAAAATTATTATTACTTATTATTATACGCACTGACAATATTGATTAATGTTATTTATACAGTGCCGGTCAAAGTCAACGTATCAGCAGGACAATCGCAATTCCCTGAAGGCAGTGATGTAAGCATCGCTTGTACCATAGACGGTTATCCGATCCCACGTGTGCTTTGGTACAAGGATGATGAACTCATTCGAACGAACAATCGAATAAAAATTTCTGGTAAAGCCATAATAATATAGTTTGCAAAAAAAAAAGACTTCTCTTTGCAAACATTGCAGAAATATTGAAATTTCTATAATAGTAATAAAATAATAATGAATAAATGAATAATAAATCATAACTTTTTATTTTTAGAACTCAATCGACTTATTATTAATGATGCTAATCGAGAGGATTCTGGCCGATATCGATGTGAAGCGGCCAATGAATATTCTTCGGATTCTGATAGCGTTGACATACGTGTAGCTGGTGACTAATTTTGATTTATATCAATATACTTTATTTACAATATTTTTATATGTAAGTATATTTCAATATCCGTTTAATTAATCTTGATTCTCGATTGATCCTTTCAGGCATCTTTATTCATCCTCATTGTCAGGATAACACATTCTTTGCCAATTGCGAGCTTATTGTGGCGGCCAAGTATTGCACGCACAAGTACTACGCAAAGTTTTGCTGTCGATCGTGTACAGAAGCTGGCCAGTTGCCAGCGAGAGGACCCCATATTGACAACTCAAAAAGAAGAAAAAGATCTATTTTGCGAATGCTCGTATAAGATGTGATACCAAATCGATTTTTGGGTATTTCCGACACACGTGATAACACAAATAGATTCTGGATCGTGATCGGCGGGATTCGCAATAGAAGAAAATGAGAAGAAAAAACAATGCGCATACCCACCTGTCCTTATTGGACATGCCGGATAATCAATTTGTTAAATCACTGCCAAAGCCTTAGAACGTTTATACATAGGTATAATATATGTATGTATTCGATATTCCCATCTAAAGCGTGCAAAATCGACATTGCGCCTTTCGATTTGCGCGATTTTGTTTTTCGACGTTTCTGCCCATGTATATACGATCTGACGCTGAATACTAGTCCAATGGAGCCATATTAGGCGGGATAATTAATTTGTTTTTATTAAACCAATGTGTGGAAACGTCGCAACTTTTCCAGACGACATCTTGCGTTACCAAAGTAACCAATGTCGATTAAGCGCATAGTTTTACAGACCGTATTATCGAATACGCGGGAAATATTGTTCCTGTGACTAGTGTCATTTTAAATATATTTTATGTGTCGCCACATACACATACATACACACACACACACACACGCACACACGCGCACACAATAATTATACTTCAAATTATAATTGTAAAATGACACAATATGACAACTCACAACACGGTGTGAAACACAACCCGTAAAAACGTATAATTATATATATATATATATAAATTTCTTTGATAAAATCAACATTAAAAATTTTAATAATTCCTGCGCAATCTTGAAAATACGATCTGAAGAATCTTTATTAATGTGAAACGATATAGCATAGCCATTTCTTTCTTATTCTAGAATTAGTTGTGCGTATATAACATGAAATGAGAATGAAAAATGAAATAAGAATGGAAAATGAAATGATATATGCGAAGAGTAAAGTTTTCTCGCATAGAACATTATTTAACGATAAGTTAAGTGACATCCTTATTCGTTGGACACACTACACTGTGTAACGAAAAATGAAACTTGTATCTACTTGTATTAGAATATATGCACACATTATATTGTCTAATATAAATAGTTTATTACGCAATATGTCATGCAATATGCTCTATAATATTGTTAGGTTACCTGTTTCTTTTAAATACTCGTACAAGTATTCTCGCAAGTACAAGTATAACGCGTACTGACAAAAATTTCATTACTTCTCTCTCTCTCTCTCTCTCTCT